GTATTTCAATTAACTTATTCGTTATTTGTACTATTTTGTTAAATTATTTATTATATATAAGTTTAACAAATAGTACAAAAATGAAAAAAAAATATAATTGAAATAATTGAGTAAATAAACTGAAATACATCCCAAACAACAGTACCAAGAACGAATAATTTAAGTGAAATACGCCGCAATTAACGCACTACATTCACTGAGAGACGCGCTTGGCGTTCCATAGAAATGACCGGCGGCTCAACTTGTCGGCGGCTCAACCGGTCATAATCCCCTAGACCAGGCCTACCACCTACTCTTAACTAGGCTACGGCTAGAACTTCAGATGGAGTAGAGGAGGCCGAATACTGTCTGTACTCCAGCTACTTACCTAAGCCTACACGGAGTGTCCACTGGTACAGGGTTTTGGGCTGTGATAAAGCTTTAGTAGCCTAGTCTAGTAGGAAATCATTATGTAACTTAAGATTATCTGTGTGCCTACTAATAGGCCTAGATATATATTGGTCGTTGATTTTTATGGAATAATTGAAATAGAATATAATACATAACTGCAAAAAAATAAAGGAAACGCAAAAAAGAAAGAGAAAAATAACAGAACGAAAAAGAAGGAACAGAAAGAAAGAAAAGGAAAGGAGAGAAAAGTAATGGAAAGGATGGAAAGGAAGGGAAAGGAAGGGAAAGAAGGAAGAAAGGAGTGAAAAGAAAAAAAATGGAAGGGAAAGGAAATTTTGAACAGAATCATGGAAAAGAAAGTAAAGTAAAGAAAGCAAAAAGAAGGAAAGGAAAGAAAGAAGTAAAAAGAAAAAAATGGAAGAAAGAAAGGGAAAAAAGAAAATAAAAGGAAGGAAAGAAAAGAAGAAAAAATAAAAGAAAGGATGGAAAATGGAAAGTAAAGGAATTGAAAAAAGGAAAGAAATTAAAGGAGAAAAGTAAAAGAACTTCAGATAGAGTAGAGGAGGCCGAATACTGTCTGTACTCCAGCTACTTACCTAAGCCTACACGGAGTGTCCACTGGTACAGGGTTTTGGGCCGTGATAAAGCCTTAGTAGCCTAGGCCTAGTCTAACTCTAGTAGGAAGCCTAGGCTAGATTCGTCCTTTAAAAGAACGTCAAAATTCTCAGTAATTTTAAAATAGTCGGACTTAAAAGATTGACCATCACAAAATATATAATATTTTGAGAATTACCTGATATTCCTCTAATTGTGCTTCGGTAAAAACACTATGAGAACTACCCATTTTTTGTGGCTAGAAAAATCTTCTTTGTACAGCAGTATCTCTATGCGGATGTTGTCGTCCTTGTCGTCATGATGTTTGTACAGTAATAACAAAGATCGTATAGCGGCCAAACTCTCTCTATCTACGGCTCTGGATCTTTGGTAATAATGTATAATTCAATCAACCGAATCAAATACAGTAATTTGCATATCAAGTTATCAGACGCCCTCAAATCAAATTACAAAAATCAGTAAACATACACCACACCCTTTAATTTAGTTTTTAAATGAAGCAAAAAAATATTATATTTTAATAATGATTGATACAATCAGTTTACTTTGAATGGCTATTTGAAGATATCCTTAGATTGATTTTTCCCACAATGTACAATACAACGTAGTAATATATTGTAAAGCAAGAAATCAGCAGAGGAGTTGACTTTTTCCCTTCGTATTATATCCAGACTGTTGTTGCTGCTGTTCATAGTCTAAAATGACCATGACCTTTTAAATAAATGTTCTGAGCAATGATTTTATTGAATAAGTGATTGGACCCAGATTATTACTTTTTTTTGTAGTAATCCAGTCGGGTGGTTGATTTGTATGGAATAATTGAAAGGATCGGGGTCTTTTGGAGTAAGTATCATATGCCTATTATTTTGCCTTCACAATAAAAAAAACAGAAACACAAGCAGTAAATCTGCGAGGCAGGATTGCCAAAATATTATAAAATAAATAACAGTCAATGTGGCTCTCCACACAAAAAATCTAGACAACAAAGATGGATTACATAGACAAATACTGTATATAAGTAGGCCTATTCAATTAATATTTACATTTAAAAATCACATTGATATTAATTTTTAAAAAAATGGTCAAGGTATTTAGAATATAAAAAAGATTTAGGTTAAAAGATAAAAACAGTATACAAATAATTATATATAATACCTCATGATTGATCAATAAAATGCTTCTTGATGCCGTTTTTAAAATTTGTAAAATTGGTAAGTAATTTGTCACCGAGATTCACAGGCAGGTTCACGATATCTGACAAAAATATTGAAGACGCAAAAAATCATTATGTAACTTAAGATTATCAGTGTGCCTACTAATAGGCCTAGATATATATTGGTGGTTGATTTTTATGGAATAATTGAAATAGAATAAAATACATAACTGCAAAAAAATAAAGGAAACGAAAAAAAGAAAGAGAAAAATAACAGAACGAAAAAGAAGGAACAGAAAGAAAGAAAAGAAAAGGAGAGAAAAGTAATGGAAAGGATGGGAAGGAAGGGAAAGGAAGGGAAAGAAGAAAAAAAGAAAGGAGTGAAAAGAAAGAAAATGGAAGGGAAAGGAAATTTTGAACAGAATCATGGAAAAGAAATAAAGTAAAGAAAGTAAAAAGAAGGAAAGGAAAGAAAGAAGTAAAAAGAAAAAAATGGAAGAAAGAAAGGGAAAAAAGAAAATAAAAGGAAGGAAAGAAAAGAAGAAAAAATAAAAGAAAGGATGGAAAATGGAAAGTAAGGGAATTGAAAAAAGGAAAGAAATTAAAGGAGAAAAGTAAAAGAATAGAAAATGAATAGAAAGGGGAAAATATGTGAACTGAGAAGAAAAAGAAAAGAAAAATCAAGTAAAGTAAAGAAAGAAATTGATACCTCCATGGTTAAACAAAGGACTTTTTTAAGGAATCAATCGAGAAGAAGAATAATAAGTAGGCCTCAGCCCTATAAAACTCAGTTAGCACGGTATGAAAGCAAGCGGAGAGGACAGGATGCACACATTAAAATGTTTAAGCAGGAGATACTTTTATCATAAATTAAAATGTAAAGAGTAAATATTAATGGTATGAAGAGACACAACATCGAATACGACCTTTCGCATTATGGGATGGCCAAATATCCGGTTTCAAATCTTGGTTAAATAAAATAATAATAGGCCTAATAATAGGCCTAATAATAATAATAATAATAAAATAATAATAATAATAATAATAATAATAATAATAATAATAATAATAATAATAATTATACAGGCCTCCCCTAATTAATGACTCCTCCAATTAAAGACCACCTCCAATTAAAGACCAAGCTTTCTGTAGTCCCATAACAAAAACTGTCTTTTATCTTTATTCTAATCAGAGACCAAGCTACGGAAACCTCGGTCCCAAAAGTAGTCTTTAATTGGAGGGAGACCTGTAATAAAAATCAACATGGAGAAAGTAAATTTACTTTTTCATACTCCTTCCTTTCCGATTTAACCAGGCCTCATTCCAGAGAGACGAATCATAATTTTCCTGGTATTAATTTCATAAGTCTGCCTTTACAAAAGTGTTGATGGTTTGATAATGATTTATTTGACATATAAGGCTGATTAAAGAATTTGGCTTCTACAACACTAACATTCCTCGGGGGCATGCGTCTGGACCCCTAGGATAGTGTTATCTCGATCATCCCCACTTTCGCCCCCCCTCCCCCTCTTTTTTGCCATCTCTGGATCCGCCTCTGAACGATTCCAAGGCTCAGATATAAAGTCTGGTTATACTGTACAGTAATAATATATTCTGTTTTATTGAAACTCGAGTTTATTAAACTGCCCTCTATGTAATTGCGAAAAACTGGGTAAGTCAAAAATGGCTGCTCCTCGGAAGCCATGGGAAAGAGCAGGTGGCGGGACAAATAATCAGTTAATAGCAGGTTATTCACCCTTAGAAAGAGGGTACGTATGTTCAGAATATTTTGTGTTAATCCTGTGTCCTTAAATATTTTGAAATTTTAGTATTTTGAGGAAGAGATACATTTTTTAGAAGCTTTTGTAGCCTAATCTAGCCCTACCCTACGCTAGGGCCTAGCACTCTCTAGGCCTAGCGGATTAGAGTCATAGCGGCCGAGAGAGAAAGCGGCCGCGCTCAAAATGTATGGAACGCCAGTAGCGCTATACCGATTGATTGGGATACGGTACGGTATAGCGTTGATCAATAGTGTTCATATCGTACTCGTCAATTCTAGTATGTTTCACTCAGTTTTAATTGAATATTTTTTATTTATCGTAGTAGTCTTCTTGGCCCTGGTTAATTAAAGATCGATTTGTTTACAGATTGATTAATTTGATAATTGATTAAAACAGTATTAATATCTAACTCTGATGCCCATTGTCCAACATACATTTTATATAGTGCACGCTTGGCGCTCCATACAAATTGCTGCGTATCGACTCGCGGCCGCTTTCCCTAGCGATCATATTAGCTAATTGTTTGCTGTTGTAGTATTATTGTTTGGTGGCCTCTCCTGTGTTTAAGTGGGAGCAGGTCAAAACGGCAAAAAACCAAAATGTCAATTTAAACCAAAACGGCAAAAATATGTACCAAAACGGCAATAGACCAAAAAGGCAATGACAAGTACCAAAACGGCAATAGGCATAGACCAAAACGGCAAAGGAGCAAAAATCAATGCAGCAGTTTATCATTTTCTGAATCGTGTTTTGTTTTTTGTTATGTTTTGTTTGTTTTTTTTACACATCCATGACTAGGCCTATATTATATTAAAGTGTTATTTATTACTATTATTATTTTTCCCGTTTTTTAATTTCATGGCATAATATTGTTTAGCCTCATTTTATCTGTATTTTAAGGTTTTAATTATTTAAATGTTCACTGCTTTTATAGCAGTCTTTTTACTATTGAATTGTATTGTATGTTATTATTATTTTTATTATTATTATTATTATTATTATTATTATTAGTAGTAGTAGTAGTAGGCCTATTGTTATTATTATTATTATTATTATTATTATTATTACTATTATTATTATTATTATTAATGTTGTTGTAGTTGTTCTTTAAAGTGTTATTTATTATTATTATATTTTCTTTCGCGCATTTTTACCTTTATGACAAATTGTTTAGCCTTATTTTGTCTGTATTTTGAAGTTACAACTATTTAATTCCCCCAATCCTTTTACTATTGAATTTGTATGATATATTATTATTATTATTATTATTATTATTATTATTATTATCGTTATTATTATTATTATTAATGTTGTTCTCTATAGTGTTTTTTTTCCTTTTTGTTTACCCTCATTTTGTCTGTACAGTATTTCAAAGTTTTGATTATTTAAATGTTTACTGCTTTTACATTGTGATTCCCCAAATCTTTTTACTATTGAATATGCATTTTTACCTATTATTATTATTATTATTAGGCCTATTATTATTATTAGGCCTATTATTATTATTATTATTATTAGGCCTATTATTATTATTATTAAGTGTTGCCATTTTAGTTTATTGCCGTTTTGACTTATTGCCGTTTTGGTTGAAAAGTGTTGCCGTTTTGACTTATTGCCGTTCTAGTTGAAAAGTGTTGCCATTTTGGTTTTTTGCCGTTTTGCTCATTGCCGTTTTGACTTATTGCCGTTTTGGTTTTTTGCCATTCTGTCCAGAAACCGTTTAAGTAATGCGATATTGCTAGACCGGATCGGGCGTTACATTGGCGTAGTCGGCAGGATTATTGATTTGTTTTGGAACTTATTTGTATTCGTGAAATGTCGGACATCGAGGAACCCATTTCTCCGGGAACATGTACTGGCACAACGGCTAGCAGCAGCGTCGTGGCCCAGAGCCAACAACAGCAACAACAAATAATTTATTTTACAGTATGTAGTGCCACATTGAAATTAAGTTTTACTTTTTAAAGAAAACTTTCATAGACCATCCTTGCATCATTTTTTATTGTAATATTTGTCCTGCCTTGTGCGAATTTATCTGTTTTATACAATGTTTTGATGATGAGAAATAAACTGAACTGATGATATACCAAAATAAATATTGAATCAGAATGGTCTGTTAATTTTATATGAGTTGTACTATTTTTTTTGTTATACTGTATTAGTAACAGCAGTTAAAATAAAACCGAGGTAAATATGAGATTAACAGCACCTTAAAGTTCATGAATAAAGTGCGAAATCAAGAGGGGTTTTTAAAGGTTACGCCCATGAAACGTTACTTTCAATAAACTTTTAATTTAAAAAAAGGCATTTTAAGCAAACTATTGTTCATTCAGTAGCTAGGTAGTAGGACTACCTGAGGCCTAGTGGTACTTCTAAGAAGACAGTAAGTAAACCAAAAGGACAAAAGGGTCTATCAACCAATGTACTCTAGGGCCTAGCCCTCCTCTTATTTCTAGGCCTGGTAATTAATTATTATAAACCAGGTCATATTGGCATAAATTTTAGTTCTATGCTAAACAAAAAAAAAATGAGAAGTACTGTAGGCCTAGAGACCATTTCTCATAGGAGACTACCATTTTAACGCAGACTTAAAAAATGGCATTTTAAGCAAACTATTGTTCATTCAGTAGCTAGGTAGTAGGACCAACTGAGGCCTAGTGGTACTTCTAAGAAGACAGTAAGTAAACCAAAAGGACAAAAGAGTCTATCAACCAACGTAACCAAGTACTCTAGGGCCTAGCTCTCCTCTTATTTCTAGGCCTGGTAATTAATTATTATAAACCAGGTCATATTGGCATAAATTTTAGTTCTATGTTAAACAAAAAAAAAAAAAATGAGAAGTAGGCCTAGAGACCATTTCTCATAGGAGACTACCATTTTAACGTGTTCTTGCCAGCTGCTTTTTATGTATACTTTATGCGGTCGAGCGCCCCGAAGTTGGTCGGGTAATTGCTTTGCGAACCCGCCGCATTCCTCTATATTTTTTATCTCGCCCACCAATGCCATGAACTCTCATAGTAAGATATTTTAATTCATACCACAATTAATTAAATAAAAGCATTAATTAATCTGATTTAGTGAACTGATTACGAGATAAATAAAGTGCACCCTCTCAAGTGAGATTAGTGTTGTGCCTCGCACACACTGGTCGATTGAGTAGGCCTGATATACGTTTGTTTAATTGTCAAAATCTCATTTAGAATCATTTTTTAACAAGTTGGAAATAATTCCAATAAAATATTATATTTCACAAGTGTCAACTACCATCAGAAAATATGTCGGCCGTTGGTATGTCTGATAACAGAACTTAAATCGAGGTAAGGCTAAGCCTAGCTTTCTGTAGCAGTATTGCTAGACTGATGTTTCCGGCGCCTACTATATTTCTTCATCAATAGGTTAGACCTATTGCAAAATGAAACATAAACGAATTAATTCATGTTTAATTTTTGTGTGGAACACAAACAATCAAATTTGACTCTTATTTGGCATTTTTTTTCATTTTTAGGAATGCTTAAATTCAGTTAAATTATCAATTTCCTGTTATATTTATAAAGTTTTTTACATATATAAAAATCAGATTTTTCTTTAAAAATTAAATTTTTGCTGGGATTGTTGCTTTAACCTCAGTGCAACATTTCTTACTAAGGTAACCTTACCATTCATTATTAAATAGTCTCACTTCTATTCTGTATACTGTACTTTACCTTGTATTATGTTTATTCCTTCCAAGTCAGTGGTGTTAGCATTTTTCAAACATTGATCATTAACTTCTGTACCAAGAAAAATCAAAAGCTTCTTAATAAATCAACATACATTGCTAATTTGTCCATTTATTTATTGATTTTTCTCTAGATCTGCAGGCATGTCTCAGCGTGCTTCTGAGTTGCCACCATGCTGTACGCCTGGAGGAATGGATGTAAGAGCATCAGCTACTCCAAATCTCAGTAGAGTACCACCTCCCCTACCTCCCAGACCAAATCAAGTAGGAGGTTACACTCCCATGTCACGCTATGGTATGGGTGGATACGGCATGGGTGGATATGGCATGGGTGGATATTCCAGCAGCTTTTCTCCCTATAGTATGTACGGCTCAAGTGGCTTATATGGAAGCGGGGGAATGTATGGAATTGGAGGCATGTATGGCGGCACAAGGTTTGGCACAGAAAACATGGATAGTGGTTTTAATCAGTTTGTACAACAGGCAGAAGAGAATAGTCGTCCAGCATTCCAATCTATAGAGAGTATAGTGCAAGCATTTGCCTCAGTGAGTATGATGATGGAGTCAACATTTAATGCTGTCTACAGCTCATTTCGTGCAGTTCTTGGAGTCGCTGATCATTTCTCCAGGCTCAAGCAGCATCTTGTGAGAGTATTCACAGCATTTGCAATGTTTAGGACCATTCGGTATTTTCTAAAGAGACTATTAGTCATCCTAGGCCTGCGTCAGCCAGACCTGCCAGAGGATGTTTGGTCTGAAGCTCAAAGCAGTGCTGTATTGGAAGACATGGATCGAAACTTGAAATCTAAACCAGCTCCATCATGGCCTGTCTTCCTGTTTTTAGCTGTTGTCTGTGGAGGTCCATATCTAATATGGAAGTTGCTGTGTTCATATGATACTGAAGAGAAAGGTGATGTCCTATTTGTCAAATTTACTCTAGACCTATTCTGTTTTTTTATTGATGATAATAATAATAATGTTGTATTTATATAGCGCATATTGCACATTGCCCCTATGCGCTTTACAGAGAAATACAGTAATATAGGCCAACTGAGAAAAAGCAAATAACAATAAAATAGTAACAATAAAATAAAATAAAAATAATCATAATAACAATAACAATGAGACTAAACTACTCCTATTCCTTAAACTAATTAATGGTTGGCCGTTGACTCCGAGGAGCTCATCCGCCCTTTGTTCAGCTATTGGTTTTTCTTGCTGCTGGGTGACCATAAACACCCTCCCCTCAGCAGCCACTAAGACATTTGAGAGGGTTGTCAGTTTAGTTGCCGACGCTTCGACCGGATGGAGTTTAATGTCGTACCCAGGACGTCCCTAACTATTCAGAGAGTGTGGAGTGTCATCTCACTCGGCTGAGAGACAACTCAAGCAGCGAAGTGACACAAGGTCTTGCTGCCGTGTCATCTCATCAGCATAGCACATTTCCTCCAGTAAGACAGTAGGAGTCACTGTGACAAACAGGAATAGATCAAGTTCTTCCTATAAGGTAGAGGTTTAGTAATACTAAACCAGTGTGCAGGGGATTGATGGTGTTCTCCCCTGGCTAAAAGTATAATTTACAACGGCCTGGGTACTAAGCAGACCGAGGGCCGAGCACACAATACTGACATGTACCCCTCGACTAGATCATGCCAGCCAGCACTTTAACTTTTCGAACAGCAGGTAGCTTGGACACCTGCCGACGCGTTTGTTTACGATGCAGTGTGCCGTATACGGCACGCAACGGGGGGAACGAGCCCAGTACGCTACGCTATTGCTTGCGCAGGGGGAGCGTTTTTGCGTACAAAACACCAAACTTCAAGAAGGATGGCTAAATAATCCCTGCCAAGTTTAGTCTGGCTCCTCACCCCACAACCGTTCCGACATGGGTGTCCCTGCCAGTTAAATGCGCACTCTTCACGCACAACCGCCGGTATCGCCTGTGAGGCTCAAACAGAGCACGCAAGCTCTTCCACCACGTACAAGGTATTGGCAGGATGGGAAGAGAAGCTATGCTTAACTACTCTATGATTATGATGATTATGATTATGACGACAACAATGTTGATGTCATCATGGATATGGCAACTACATGGACTATGAAGATAATGATGATTGTGGACTGCCCAACGATGATTATGATGGTGATGATGTACAATGGTACGATGGTATGGATAATGAGATAATAATGATGATGGAGACGATGATTATGATAATTATGAATATAATGATACTGCACTGTTCAATCCTATTTTTTGTTGGTTATTTAATAAATTGGTTTCTACCAATGGCAATTCATCCCCTTTGCGAAATTACTGGTAAAATAACTTATCCCGAATCACATTCATTATTTCCACACATGTGCCAGATTTGGAAATAAAAACCCTATGTTTAAAAGAAGTGTCCCTCCATCTCCACATTTAAGCAGAATTGTTCATATCTTTTCATTTCCACTTTAGTTTATCTGGTATGTTTTATCTTTATACAGAAACTGTAGTGTATTAAGACATCAATACTACCTTTCCATAATGACAACAATACTTGTGTGAATAGTATAAATACCTAAAATGAGTATGATGATTCAACATTTACTACAGGTGTTGTTTCTTGGGCAAGTGGGGATGATGACCATGTAGTTGGGCGTGTGGAATTTGATTTTGAAGCTTCCAACCAACAGGAAGTCAGCATCAAGTCTGGAGACATGGTCAACCTAGCCCCCAAAGGTATGTCAATTAACTCTAGCGTTAGAATGATAATAGGATGGAAAATTTTACTTTTTGAGCGACCCAGTATTTCCTTGCACTGTACAGTAACTTTAAAATTATTAGAATCAGACTCAGAGCTAGAAAGAGTGCGTGACCAGTGGTCGGAGGCATATCGAATGTCCCGGAGGCATTTCCGGGGGAAAAATATATAAACCAGAAACAGATTTAAAAAGGAAATGTTTTTGCTGATTTACAAATATTTTACTACAAAATCATATTTGTCCTTTTATCAAAAACTTATATTTACTACTGATAATGCTTAAATATCTAGCACCAATTCCAATTTATATTATCAAAGGTGCTGAGTGTTATTACCCCTGGTCACTAGATACAGTAACATACATACATAAATGCAACCCTCTCTGCTTTCTGGGGAGTTCATCTACAGTAGTCATGTGGTTCTTGCTTAGTGCATGAAACTAGTACATTCAATGCCACAACATCCTACTAAGTAACCATTGATTATATACTTCCGGGTAGAGAGAGACAAATGTAGATAAAGTGCCTTGCCCAAAGACACAAGGTACTCAGCTAGAGTCTTGAACCCCTGACCTCAAGTTTGGGAGTCCAAGCCACAACTGATATGCCAACCGCTTCTACTGTAGTGTTGTATAAATATAATATTTATTGCCCAGGAACCACTGCCTCCTCAGGGTTCTTGTTTGATATTTACAATACATAAATATTGTGTAATTTTTAATGACATCTTTTGTGTAAACTTGTTCAATAATATCCATGTTTTTATGGTTTTAAAACTATCATTTTAGAAATACAACCAAAGGTTCGTGGTTGGCTATTAGCAAGTAAGGATGGTAAAGCTGTTGGTTTGGTTCCTGCAAATTATATAAAAGTTTTAGGCAAAAGAAGGGGGAGGAAGCATGTACAATTGGAACAACAGCAGATGCAGACAAGTCTTGATGTATCACAGTCAGCAGCAGTGGGAGGAATGCCACAAGCAGGAGAAGCCATTGATCTTCAGACTGATTTTCAATTTGATCAATCATTTACTGACCTGACACAGAATAATCAATTCTCCACTGCTGACATGAATCAACCCCAGCAGGGATGTTGCAAATCAAAGAATAACCAGAGTGGTGCTCTTACCCCACTTACAACAGACATTGAAAGAGTTAGCTCATCATGTGATAATAACGAACAAAGAACAGCAACAGATGTTGTGGTAACTGAAGCAGATGTATAGCAGAAGTAGATGTATAGAATATGATTCTATTGTTTAAATGCAAACCCAATCAAAAACATTTATTGAATTTAAGAGACAAACCATAGTACACCCCACATGTTTATGTGTGTGTGTGTGTTGAAGTGTGCCAGTATCATTATTAGGTTATGCTTGGCATTGCGCTCCAAAAGATGCTAGTTTTAGATTGTAAGAGATTGGAAGAAGTTGTAGGAATCTCTGTTAAATGAATTCTAGTGAGATTCTTGTCAATGTTTTATACAATACTCCTGGTTCTAGTAGTTTCTAGCCTATGGCTAGCAAAACCACCATGTGCTTTTGAAATCTACAAGTATAATCTTAGGGCTGCAGTAACATCAGACGCAATTTCAATCAGAAGCAAAAATGCAAGCAGCAGGCGTTCAGGTATTTTCAAGTTTGCTGCGAACTTGTAAAAGTTGTTTTATCCGATACAGTGTGGTGAATACTCTTTATCATTGCTATGATTACCTTGGACAGATACCTTCGATAATGAATCAATTTTTTCTTCAGAATCTCAAAGCTCTCATGCCAGCCCTTTAAAGCTTTTTGTGAAATCTTGTGATTTTCCTGATAATGCACTAGAATACAGAGCATATCACTTTGGCTACTCAATTTTGACCTATGAACTCTCACTGGCTAAAGTCATGGTCCCAGATTTTAAGGCAACCCCAGGATAATAATTGGCATCTTTTCCCAGGACAATCTTGGGGTCCTTTGTTATGCCACTGACGGTGTACAGTAGTGTGGCCATGGTGTGTTTGTGCACTCTCAAGCCAGCAACCCCTCCCAACTTCGGATTTAACAAGTGTACCTTCTTTTTTCCTTATGCTAATTAATTATGCTTTGTGCCAAAAATATGTGATTAAAAATAAAGGCCCAGCATATGGTGGTCTTGTATGTCTAACATGGTAACAATATAGTAACATGGGTTTGATTTACATTTTTTCTAAGAAAATTTAATTGCATCTGATGGCCAGTGTTTTGATATCCCCCTTTCATTGGAATCATGATTCTACATAGTTAATTTTTATAAAATGCTGTTTGAGTAAAAATTATATATGAGCATTAAAATGTATTCATAATTTCCTTTCTCCTATTAAAATGTGTTAAAAAAAATAATGGTAAAGACAATAATTATTTTTATTAATGTAATTAATGATAAAGGCGTAATTAATGAAAAAGGCAACACAACAATACTGTAGTTACTTTTCTTTCCATTATGCATCATGTTTGATTTGTGCTATGTAAATTAAAAATTAATTTTGATTTTAATGTTTGGTCTTCCTCATCGATATGTAAAAACATACTTTAATTTCTGAGAAGCAGGTCGATACTACCTCAAAGATTCAGAACCACACAACAATACATTGAGTATGAATGTTTATTCATACAATAAGCAGAAAGAAATCATATTAGGAAACATAATGTACCTTTCCCACCACACTCACAGATGTTTGTATACTTCTTGTGGAAACTTAGCAAAATTATATCCAAGGGGTGGCCTTAGTGGAACCTTCCGTTCAAGCGATCGATTCACAATAACTTCTGTTACATACAGTAGTACTGTATAGCCATGAAAAAAATCATATATAGTACTATGAAGGAAAGTAATGACCTGTGACATGCATTTAGTACATTACTTGATTGCATAAAATAAAAGTAAAGAAAAATACAATTTCCAAAAGGGTCATCCCAGCTCAAATCAGCTAGAAATTTAAAAGTGCCCTTGTGGCCCCTCTTGAAATTTTCCTTTAAAAAATTCTGGAAAATACGTTTTTATGTTATGACCTTTCGAAATTTAGGTATCATGCTGCCTTTTTCATTCCAGTAATGGCTCCTTTAACTTTGTATGGTTTTTACAAAGCTGGAATAACGAAGATAAAAAGTTGTAAATTGCTACATAGATATTTGGCCCCTCTTTCATGAAATACCATTAAAATTTGGGTAGCATATTTTATTAGAATGTTATATGCACCCCTAACTCCCACGAACCATTGTGCAAAAATAGATTTTTGCTATTTCGGAGGGCTGTATTATATTATGCTTTTAAGTAAGAAAGTTAAAATTAAACATTTAATGAATGTGCTTATATTACATACATAAAAGTAATGAAGGTATAATGGGGTTCTGGATATAAGGTCACAAATACCAACTTGTTAATTTCGAAAGATCACAACTTAAAACCACTTGGAAACACTAATTTTGGATTCATTCTTTTGACATAGAAGGGTATATTTGGAATTTTTTAAAGGAAAATCCAAGGGGGGTCACAGGGGCATGGTTGTTGATTTGAGCCAGAATGACCCAAAAGTAATCAATACTAATATGAATGATGTATGGTAACCACATATACCAACTGCTTATACAGATTAATTTCAATGGCTCTGAACATTGTCAAGTAAGAATCAGAACTACAAACTGAAATACACTAAATATAAACGTCTATATATTTTTATTGTTCAATATAATTAACGAGTATCAGCCTTCCAATGATGCAAATTTTTGCACTTCTGATGAAATTGAAATATTAAGGAGTTTCAGATTGTAGAAACTAGATTTATTGGGTCATATTAATGTGGCACTTACATATTACATATATTTAATGATTAAATATCTAATATGAAGGTATAAAGATTATTAGGTGTGTGCTTATACCAGGGGATTAGCCTGGTCTAGAGTGTAGACCGCCCTTAACTTCAGCCTAAGACATTTTCAGGCAGGCAACATTAAACCCATCGCCACGATGTCTATTCACAAGCCCTAATAATGTCTGTTTTTTGTGCATGCTTCTGGATGATTCAAGTTCATACAGCGTGCACAGGTTAAAAATGAGGCCCTCGTCAAGGTACTTCTCGGGGTCTCTGTGTACAAGGTTTTCTAGTGATGCCAAAGCTTCCCTTAGTTTTCCCATATACAGCTGACACACAGATAAATTATTGACGGCCTATGAAGAAAAAAACAAGATGTTTTTAAAAATTGGAAATAATATGAATAATTATACAGTATTAATTTCAAAAGGTTTGCACCACCATCATGCTTCTTTTGGTGATAGGTGAACCAATTGGGTGCTTTTCGAGTTTGAGAAATTGTTAAAACTTCTTTATAAAGAAGGGGGTGGGGGTCCAAGATTTCTTGGAAATACATTTTTAGTTAGAACGTTGGTGAGCCTATCAAGCCATGACAGCCATCTTGACAATAATGCAGCTATTTCAATGAAAGAATAATGTTCAGGAGGAAGTGTCATGCATGTTTAGTGAGATACTATATCAACGATATGCCTATAAATATACTTTTAATTTTTGGCAAAATTACATTTATGGAGGCTTTGGTACTTGAGCACAAGACCTAGACCTTGCATGTGTGAGACTTAGTAGGTCTGGTAATAAGTCTGTGCTGTTCCTCTGTTGTATAAAACAGAATCAAAACACAATGTAAACTGATAATGTATTTCTTCTGTGTAGGTTTCAAATTAATATTTGATTAAACACCATCAGATCATAAAATTATAAATTTTAATTTCAGTAGATAATTTTAGACAGTGTATCTCTGATAACTACTTAGCGCAAAAAGCAAAATGCCAATTACGTACTATATGATTAGTAGGATCCTTGTTCACAACCTCAGAGAATAGTTTATATGCCTCAGGGTACGAATGCTGAGATAGACGCAGTAAAGCCCTGCAAGAAAAAGAAAACATTTTATGTATTTATCTGTTCCATGTAATTGAACTCCATACTTGATTAGGTGTTATATACGTGTAAAAAATTACTGATGTTCACCATGTAGATATAAATTTATGAATCCCTACAATATTGAATAAAGCTTGGTTTCCTTAAATTCGCTACACTGTCGCTACAGTGTTTTTAGTGCAATTGTTGTACTGCGTAGCGATCCCAGACTCAATCGCGAAGGCTCCCTGATTCGATCAACCAATTGGCATCACGGAAAGCTGTCGGTGATAGTTTATAGCAATTGTATGGCATAGAAACTTAAAGCTCTGTCAAATTTTCTTTGACAAAAAGCTGTTGTAAGCCCATAGTCATGATGTGCCTATATATGTTCATGATGCGATGTCATCATGACCAAATTTAGGTATGTCACATGTTTTTTGTCAAATCAAATTTGAGTCTGGCCAGAGCTTAAGGTCTCTGAACACTAGCAAGTTATCAGTGAAACATACCTATGATGTGCCCATAAAAAGGCCATGGTATCATATGGCTTAGGACCATGGCACTCAAAGGCAAGCAACCTAAGCCACAAAGCTACAGCTCCACCATTCACTCACCTGTTCATTAATACTTTAACACTTTCTTTATTTCGCTTCATGCAACGACTCTCTAATTCCTGAAATATTCTTTGTGCAGACTTCAGATCACCCAGCTGAAAATTAGAATGAACCATAATAATAGTAACAAACATTTAGGGATAATAAAAATTAACAATACGACTAATTATAACGCCTTGTTACCTGTAAATGTATACGTCCAATACCAGACAGAAGTTCTTCATCATTGTCTTCATCTTTGTCAAGAAGGGACTCAAATATTGAAGCTGCTTTATTGAAGTCCTGAAATGTATACACTATCAATAATTTTCAACTTCATGAACAACTAAACAATAATAATCAACATACTGTAATATTTAATTGGCAATTACAGAGAATGTGGAAAACTTGAGGGTGTGCTTTCTGAAATTCTGTCTTTATCCAAGATTATTCACTTCACTTGTTGCTGGAATTTCTTGGACATCAGCCCATTCTCCCGCACTCCAGTGACTAACAAAAATCTCCAGAAAACAAACCTATCATGGAAATTCAGGATGTTTGCATGTATTATTTCTGTATTGTTGTTTTCCTGAAATTAGCTGGCAATGGATTTAGGGAATTCAAACCTAGAACCCTAGGATGGAATGCAAGTATCTACACCATTAAGCTCCTCTCTACATCTCTATGTGTTGCTGTGAAAATATATTAAAATAGAGAACCCACCTTCATTGCTAAAAGACAGTTTCCAATTGAATATAAAATTCTCTTATCTCTTGACTTCCATAGTTGAATAGAAGCTAAAGGAATAAAATATTACAAATGTTGTTTTTTTTTTTTTCATTTTAAAAAATATTGATGCTTATACATACTGTACGTAAAAAACCTGATCAACTTGCATTGTTTCTACTGACTAAAGAAAAAAGGCAGTGGCTGTTGTTATTTCCTAATTCAATCCATACACTCACTATTACATGGGGTGACAAAATAGGACTACCATGAATTGGTTGCAATAATACCTTTTCTACTGTCATCTTTTAATTGTACATGACTGCCATCTTCAGCTAAGTCCTGTTGCAGGTTCAACAAAATCTGATAATAAATTAATGATAATATGTTAATTAAATAGAGAAATAAATTAATAAACCTCTCATATATTATAATAATATAGGAATATTAAGCCTAATTACTGACCTTCAAACTTCAAAAAAATAATATACCCCTTGACCAAAGGGAGTGGTTGTTGGAGACCCATTCGAAAATTTCAGGAACCATTACTGTCCTGCTGTACAAAGCAATCACCACAAAAGTAGAGACCAGGTGTATGCACAATAATGATGATGTCATTAATAATTATAATATTCCTGTAAAACTGTTCTAATTGATAATAAATGAAGCACAATGGATGTACACTTACTACGAACAGTTTTACAGCTAATAAGCAAACTAGATTAAACTATTTGAATAATTATAATATTGTTTTTATACTTGGAAGAATTTCATCTAGTCTTTAGTTGAAAAATATATAGCTTAAAGAGTTTGGAAACTTGCATGACAGTTTTGGTTGCTAACAGCTAAAAATATTGTTTTGTAGTACTGAAGGTGTACCAAATCACACTACTAATAACAAAAAAAAGCCATCTGCTATTGAAACAGTGTGCTGGCATGATTCTCAGGAAATTACCTTTTCACAAACCCCTTTGATCTTGTAAAGTTGGTCCATTGACTCTTGATGCTTTCCACAATACTGAAGAAGTTCTGTCACAAGGACACGGAGTGAGAATGGCACCATAGATCCTGTAGGAAGATAAACAAAGTACTGAGAAATCATAGACATGTGACTCCTGTTAATTTAGATTTTCAGGGTGCACTGTGTTTCGTAGCAAGTTAGTAGATCATGTAGCTTTTATTACGTTTTGTACAACATGCTATTCGGTACCAGTAGTTGTCGTAAGGACGTGAACAATTAACACTATTTTAACTGATTTATTGAATAATTTATTGGAACACATTTTTACAGACATGACACACACAAAATACAGTTGTGGGTAAAAATTGAAACACTGAGTATGCAACTGCAGAAGCTGAATATGATGTCATTAATACAACAACTTATACGATAAGGAATATAAAATACAGACAAGATGATGTCAAAAATAATTATTTTGTGTACATATCAATACGAGAATTTATCACTTCTCTCACTCACTCACAAAAAAACCAATACAATAGCAGACAAAAACTCCCTACTCAACCTACACACATTCCCATTCACTATGATGATCTCGTACATACCAAAGGCATTCAAAAAGCTATGTTTTATGTTTACCTTTTCTTCCAGGATAAATATCCGGATAGAATTCAAAGTAAAGATCTGGGCTTTCAAAATCCCCAAATACTTTTGATTCAGTTTCGGCAATACTGTACTCACGAAATTATTTGCGAACGATTTTATTATTTATTTTGTAATCGAGCTAGCATAGGCCAGGGCCTAGGCTAGCTAGGCTAGCAAGGAAATATACCTGTCTCTTATACACATCTAGATGTGTATAAGAGACAGATATAAAATACAGACAAGATGATGTCAAAAATAATTATTTTGTGTACATATAATACGAGAATTTATCAATTCTCTCACTCACTCACAAAAAAACCAATACAATAGCAGACAAAAACTCCCTACTCAACCTACACACATTCCCATTCACTATGATGATCTCGTACATACCAAAGGCATTCAAAAAGCTATGTTTTATGTTTACCTTTTCTTCCAGGATAAATATCCGGATAGAATTCAAAGTAAAGATCTGGGCTTTCAAAATCCCCAAATACTTTTGATTCAGTTTCGGCAATACTGTACTCACGAAGTTTCATCAGCAATGCTATTCGTGTTAGCCATAACTGGGGGATGAAAGATTTGTAAAGTAAACAATAAATAAGTAATCATTACTGTTCAGTATGGGCATTCCATATAATAGGAATTTTACGATGCCTGATCTTGATAGTTCATGAGCAATATGAACACATCTGTCAGGTCCTTGAAATTATTTTGCACACCCTTTATCTTTTTTTCCCCTTTAATCTATTTTTCATTTTTAGAAAAGTACAAAGAGGCTAGCAATACTGGTACTGTAGTATGCCATATAACTATAATATACCTGTCCAAGATGAGGAATCCCCAATAATAATAATGGCGACGACAACAACGAGATGATGATGATGATGAAAGTCAGTTGTCACACCAGCAAGAAAGATGGTGTACCTGTGTACATACAGTATTACTGTATATACATATTCCTCTTGTCAACACTTTTGATAAGAATTTGCCTGAAGCTTCTGGACACAGAGGTATTGTCCAATGAACAGGCTACAATGAACAGATTGAACCATTTATAGCAATGCCATCTAAGCCCTCCAATTTCCTTAACAAAAACTTACCTGTAAAGATTGAGGTGATTGCTTACTTGGTAGTCCCACTTGGCCAATACCTTGCCCATGATTGGCTAGAAGCTGCGCTGAAAGGTCAACAGCTGCCCTCAAACAACCTTTATCCTGAAGGCAATACAATAATTATTAAAAACAAAAAAACAAAAACAAAAACCAGATAAGAATATTGTGGAAGTAGAAGCAGCAGTAACGGTATACAAATAAAAACCAATGAAATTTAGGACTTACCAACAACTGTTTAATGCCAAATTCATCCTTGGACACTTGATCCAAAGCAAGAGTACACCTTTTAGTGCCTTCTACTTCACCCATGTAGCGGACTACTAATTCAAGAAAAGGATCTTTCTACAAAAGATGAAAACAAATTTATATTGTTAAGAAGGAATTATAGAGAATAAAATAATATTTTTTGATGTATAATCAGAAAAGATAATTAATTTATCATCACTATTACAGTACCAGTAATTGTTATACTACAATAATAATTGTTACCATAATTATTTTTTATCATCATAACAACAATACTATTAAATTCATTATAAAACAATACTATTATCATCAATTATTTCACTTACCAGTGACACTAAACTGACCCCAGGCATGGTCAACTGATTCTTATCAATGAACTCTGACCCTTGAGGCGATGTCATTCGTGAAATAAGAACTTGTCTAGTTTTCTCTGTTGGTATCCAAGCATTATGACGACGATCACTATCACCACCACTCAAGGCAGCTGTAAAAATGTCATCCTGATCGCCAGCAGTCTTTTGCAAGAATGGGATCTGAGTCGTTTGTGGACTTTGAAAGAGATTCTGCTGCTGTTGTTCTGAAGAAGGTTCTGGTTTAAGTTCTTTGACTTCTGGAATGATTGGATCAACTTCTTGGGTAATGGCACTTGGATCAGGACTACCCTCTTCAGGACTGGACAAGTCAATCTGGAAGGAATGATCCTTGTCAACAGCAAGGTCTTCTTCTTTATTATTCCCAAATAATGCTTTATATGTGGCAGTATCTTGAGCATTACATGCATCGCCAGTCTCCTCAGGCAGAAGTGATTGCAGTGGTGTTTCAGTAGACTCCACAGTTAAAGAACTTGGAGGAGTTGAATACTCATAGGACATAAAGGAATCAAAAAAGTTTTTCCCTTCTGTGTCACTACTTTTTATGTCTTCTTTAAAGAAGTTGCTGACACTTGGTTGGCGGGGTATCACGCCTTCTGTATCCCCTTCACCAGTGAACATTCTTCCAGCACCTCCCATAGTTTGCATCCATGTCATCTGACTCTCTGGACTACCAACAGGCTGTGACTGAAATCCTTCTTCAGTCCCCACTTTGATTTCAATTGGGGGTGGTTTAGCGGGTTTTGATGGTTCTGCTTCTTCACCGGGGCTTTCATCGGACAACGGAATGTTCTCTGTTTCTGGAGAATTCACTTCATCTAAACTCCTTGTGCTTGGATCTTCAGATGTCACTTCATCTACACTGATTATGTTCACTGCAATTTTTTGCTTACTTGCATGACCGCCATCACTTTCTTCTGGTGAAGCATCAACTTCACCCTCTGGTGATGGCTCATCTAATGGTACATCTTCACTATCATCGTTTCCATGAGCATCAGCTTCTTCTAGAGTCAACAATTCATCAGTAAGATCTGCACTTTCTCTGATTTCAGATTCCATGACTACTAGAAGAAGAAAGTAATTACTTATCAAATAACAAACAAAAAAAGAAAGATTTTGTACAACATTGTCATTACAAACAACAACTTCATAACGACTGCTCCTTTTTGTTACGTTACGGCCATTTGTAAGATTGCTAGATATAAAAAAAAAAACCACCAGAAAAGAAAGTACACAGCATAATTCACGCAATCATTGATCTAAAATTCTGCCTGTATACTGCCATATAGGCACTGGCTGTGTGACACCTGTCTTACATGTATATATGAATTCCTAAAAAAAATAAAAATAAAATAGCCACAGTAAATTTGAATAATAAAATATCTATTAATATTATTATTTTGTTATTACTAATTATTATTTGAATATGTTATAACAAGTATGGTACCTACCCTAGGACTCCACGCCTAGGCTAGATAGATAGGCTAGCGATGGCCTAGGCCCTAGGCCTAGCCTAGGTAGGCCTTTTCATGAGGAACGAGAGCTAGGCCTAGGCCGCCACCTAGGCTAGCATAATAATTTTCACATACCTATTTCTATTATTATATCAACACATTTGAAATCAGATCATTTAAAAAATCGTTTGTTTAGTATAGGCCTGCACAATGTCAACATACGCCTAGCTAGAACCCTACTCACTGCGGAGCAAAGAACTTAAATAGCAGAAGAATGAGCTGCTCCACGTATTTGCATTAAAATCGATGGAACATTCGCCCTCCTGCGGTTGCAGTAAAATTTGAACATTTTACTAAGTGGAGAAACTAAAGGAAACAAGAACAAGAACAAGGAGCAGCGCCTTTATTATTTTTATATAGCGCCGCCGCGCGGTTGGCGATTTTTTTTCCGTACGAAACATTTACATGGAACTCCACTCGGGCCGTCTCGACTGCAATCGACCCGAAAATCTCATATTGCCGAATTGAGGAGGTCAAAAGGTCATCAATAGATAAACGTTTACAAAACAACTTCTGAGAGAACGTCGCTGTCTAATTTTTAAATATACATTGATGTTACCATGCTAATACTAATGGGTCATTTAAAATGACATATGATACGGTACTTGATTGTGCTGCACGAGTAATGAAAAGTGTTATTTTAAAGCCCCATTCCCGGCAAAATTTCACTAAAAATGACTTTTTTTTAGAAAATATGCATTTGCATTACTCCAATTATTATAAATCATGGAAAAATATTGGCATGAATTTTAGTTTTACGCAAAAGAATAAAAAAAATGAGAAATACAGACTATTTCTCATAAAATATTACCATTTTACAAAAGTTTGGGCGCTCGACATTTTTCATTTCTCTGGGATCGAGGACATGCGACACGCCAAAAATAGCCTAGGAGGAGGATGAAGCGCCGAGAAAGGATAACCGATTTTTTTGCTTCAAGGCCAGCAACGAAGAAATCACGAAATTTAAGAAGTTAGAAAATTCACCCTTGTTTTCACCACATGCTCATGATACTGCCTGGCGGCGGGACCGGTGTACTTTTTCGGGCTAGGCCTAGGTCTAGCGTTGCTAGGTAGGGTAGGGTCGTAGCCTATATATGAGGCCTATTATTTGCGAACGATTTTATTATTTATTTTGTAATCGAGCTAGCCAGGGCCTAGGCTAGCTAGGCTAGCAAGGAAATATACTTGGTAATGTTTTCACGTTTCGTCAGAATTAACTGACATTATTCATAATAATATATTTATTATTTTTTCTCAATATATCTCATTTAAACCAAGACAGCTCTTAAATTATTGTTTATTTTCACTGTGCTAAGTTTTTTTACACTGGTTCTTAAACATTGTGCGAGATGCGAAGTACAAAAAGTAATCTCATTAGAGAGGGCGCACTTTATTGACTGTATAAAGTATACATAAAAGCGAGAGTATTCCAGTGGATGCGATCTACAACCTCTGAATTTGTTTGGCGGACCCCTGGACTCCACACCCAGAACCCCCCCCCCCCCGTGCTGCACGAGTAATGAAAAGTGTTATTTTAATTTCAGTTACATACTTTGACAATTTTTATTTTTTAGTTAGGTCTGGGTTTTGCATAATTACCTAGGCCTACTAACTACGTTTTCTGGGGAAACAGGGAGTCTGGGGGAAAGCAGAGAGAGAGTAAGGAAATTAAAGCGCGTTTCTCGGGCGTTTCTTCATTAAATGAAACAGGGTGACAGTTATTTCCAAATTAAGAGAAGAGCTGAGAATAGGCAGCTCTAAAATACTGGATGCCATAAGACCTGCGAAAATGGCAGAGCACCAATGAATGTATAGTTATTAATATTAGGCATAGTAATCTGCAGGTTCTTGAATACATGGCTAGACCAATTATTATTTATTATTATTATTATTATTATTATTATTATTATTATTATTATTATTATTATTATTATTATTATTATTATTATTATATTATTATTATTATTATTATTAATTATTATGTTAGTAAAACCAACTTGTAGGCCTACCGTAAGTGGAACTTCGACAATGGAGGAATTAGATAACAATTAAAAAATCTACGTTAAGGATAAATAACACAAAAGTTATTCCCCTTGGGCTAGTTATTAATTATAGTCCTAGTAAATAGTATTACAAGGCTTAGGCCAAGGTAATTAATGCTGAAATTATTATATTATTATTATTATTATTATTATTATTATTATTATTATTATTATTATTATTATTATTATTATTATTATTTAACATGAATTGTACATTACAAGGATAGTTTGGCCAAGTTCAATAACGCCGGAATGGTTTATTCCTATGCACTCTATTTTTTATTTTATGCTTAAATTTTTTCCATTTTTTTCCCCCAAAAATTTTAATCAGCGTCTGTATGTGAAGCGTGACTGTTGGTATCAGCCTAGGACCCTAGGGACCTAGGCCTAGTATAGGAGGGGCCTAGGTAGGACGAACTCATAGTCTGTAATTAGGCCTCATAGTTTATCCTCTTTCTCTCTAGCCTTTGGACTGTACAGATCTACACTTTATAAAAGGGGGTACTAGCTGTTGTTGTTGTTGTTGATATTATACTAACATGTAATAACATCCAAGAAGGTCACAGTTATGTTACACACGTACATCCCATAAATCCGTAAGATATCTCAGGCCTACAGTAGGTAAACATAGAAAGAGCAATAATAGTAAAACTCGAGCGTCACGACATTGCAAAGTGTCTGCTCTTGTTCCTCGTATCAAACTCAGCCGAGTCAATCCGAGATGGCGCGAGTGAAGTCTCATGCAAATGTTTCGTACGGAAAAAAAAATCGCGCGCGGTTGCAGTAAAATCGCTTTACGTGTACCCACAATGCCTTTTGAACGGATGTTCCACTATATTGGGAAGCTGCTCTATCTTCTGCTATTTATCTTTGCTGCGAGTGCCGACGACTCTTCTCTTCTCGTCATCTTACCAAAGATTGAAGACCGCCACCAGCGATCAACATAATCAATACCCATAGAGCTATTAAACAATTCTTATTATATCTCTATGTCAATACCGTAAATCCTATCACCATCACAACAATAACATCGGAAGCAGGTCGACTCGGCCCCATGTCAACTGAATGGCTCGTGCACTATAAAGAACCCAGTACATCTTTCGAGACGAGCAGGGGATACCCCGGTGTACTGGAACAGACAGCCCCTGTGGTGGACGACGAGAGTTGCTGGTACCGGGTTACCAGGTAGCACAGACACGAAGGGACCCATAAGCTTTGTCTGCACTATCAAATTTCATTAAAAAAAAACCATCACATAAAATGTGATGGAACATAGAGTTGAACACGTTCAACTTTTTTGTTTAAGCCCCCCGCCGGACAGAGCTCGTCGGGCAGTCAGACCATAAAACATATAAAAAGGCCCACACCAAGCCAACACATGTTTGTCACAATCTGAGAGTGCCATTTTCGAGCATCCATAGGTTGATATTCTTTTAAAAAAATCTCATTTGGGAGGGGAAATCCCCCTCTCAACCCCTTCCCCCAGCTCGATCCTGCGAGCTCAAGTCCCCTGTCGGACAACTTAGCCCCCCCCCCCACCGAGAAAACATATCCTAGAGCTGCCACTGGGTGGCGTTAGCATTTGCCCGACAGGCGGGGGGGGGGGGCGATTCTTCGGACGGGGGGTCAGATTTCCCCGACGAAAGCAAAGTGGGTGTGGTCAAGCTTCGATTAAAAGGTTTCCAATGGTCCGGGGGGCGGGGGCGAAGCCAGCAACATTTTTGACAATTTAGGGGTTTCAAAGGCTTTTTAGAGTTAGAAAATACATAGATTTTTTTTCTCCCCGAAGAATTGTGCCTTTTCGCAGCCCCCCCCCCCCCCCCCCCCCCCGC